CACAGAAAATTCAACATCAACATTTCCTACACAACCGATCTTCGCGTATTTACCATTGCGTTCTTGCGGTTTTCGTTTTATTCTTCAAGCAGACTTCGAAATTCCAGCGAGTCGACAGGATCTTCGACGTGATAATCTTTGGAACGAATGGTTGAAGTCTAAAATGCCACAACTGATGTACTTAGCTTATCAACAGTTTAAACAACTGCCCGAATTGATTGCTGATTTGAATCTTATGAACGAACACTATGCTCAGCCAACTGCAATTCAAGCAATCAAATTCTTCCTGAAATTTCTTCCAGCAAGTTATGAAATCGATCCGTACTTTCAACTATTTGTTAACAGAAGTTTTGAATTACTAGCTGGAGTTGTTGAATTGCCTGTCATCAACATGAGATTGAACGGTGACAAAGAAATCATCTGGGTACCACCATCGCAGTGTGTCATCGCTAAAGATCAATTCACTCGATCGATGATCACAGAAAATTTGTTGCTCACGCATCGAAACAGTTACTATCTTCATGATGAAGTCGTGAACGAATGTAATGAAAAACTTCTTGTTGCCTTGGGTTGTCGCATCTTGAACATCGCTGATATTCTTCAACTAATCGAATCATCGTATCGATTCGTCGATCAAGAATATCCAAAAAATGAAGCAACCATCAAACAAGGTGAGAACCGTTAATTGTTATTCTTAGTTTTCATTCTTTACTCTCATTTTAGCTGCTCAATGGCTGGTTTGTGTTGGCTATTATTTTCAACAACGGGAGAAAAATGAGAACGATATGCTAAAACGCTTGAAACAAGTGAAAATATTTCCAGTGGACTCTCACAAAAATCTCGTTTCTATCGATGAATTTCAAAGTAAAACAATCCTTCTTCCATTCGCGAAAACTGACAAATTTGCCAAAAATTTGAGAATCGTTATTGAAGAAATCCCTGCCATCGATCCACGATTAATTCAGTTTGTCGAAGAACAACATCCAACTCGTTCGAAACAGTTCATTGATCTTCTGAAGAAATTAGGTAACTAAGACAAATAGTTCTATTACAAACAAACATTCTCTCTCTCGTTCTTAGGCTTTCAAGACAGGCCAAATATTCGGAATATTTATCATGAATATTGGTTACCAACTATGTCTGATCCGAAACTGTGGGCAACTAAATCGAGCGATTTACTCATCGCGTATTTCATGTGCATTTTTCAATACATGTATGCAGGCGAAGGAAACATCTCTGACATAACTCTAGATCAATTACGAAAGATTCTCTTGGTTAAAACTAGACAGAATAAATTCCTATCGCTAGGATCTGAAAAAAATTTCTTTCATTTAACAAAGACTTATGGAGCAAGATACTCCGCCGAAAATTTACCGCTCAACACCGATCAATATCATTTCATTTCCGATGATTATTTTCGAGATTATCGAGAAGAAGAGATCTTCACCAAGCCACACTTCAGACAAAGATTTCCTCAGTTTCTTTTGGATCTGAAAATTAATGATTTCTTCCAGATTGAATCAAAAGATATACGTGAGTACTCGATGTTTCAAGATGTTCGAACGAATTTTCGATATCTTATTCTTCATCATTTAGCGTTCGCAGAAGTTGATCAAGTGAGAAACACAAAATGGGCGTCATATACAAATGATCTAACAAATCGATTGCACGATTCGTTTATTATCAGAGATTATATTTGCGAAGAGTTTGAAGCCTTATTCTCATCCAATCCAGATTATCAGCTGTGCGTCAAACTGCTCGACTATTTGAACAGTAACTATTCAGAAATGCAGAACTTTGTGACAGCATCTGTGATAAGATCCCGATTGTTGAAGCAGCCTCAACCAAGACCTGAACTAGGACTACCCTCTTCATTTTTACTCTTATTATGGAATCAAGTTTGGATACCCGTAGGGGAAGGAAAATTGATGAAACCAGGCGAAGTGTATTTGCTGAGTCAATCTCAAGACGTACTGCGTCGTTATGTTCCACACATTGATTCTAGTCAAATATCTTTGCGAAAGGATAGTCCTCTGATTGATATTTTGGGTATACGGCAAGAAATTCCAGCGAGAATTCTTTTCAACTTATTAATTAAATGGTCATGTGATCTTGACGAAGAATCTGTGAATAAGTTGATTCAATCGACACATCCATCGGAAGTGTAAGTTGAAAAATCAAGACTCGATACAAATCAGAGCGAGTTCTTTCTATTTCAGAATTCCATGTCCATACGACGATACATTCAAAAAATCTTGCGAGGAACCACTCGATAATATTCGTCAAATTTATAAGTTTCTCGCTGATGATGAAGAAGTTTGTGGACTGTTGTATCGATTTCGTTCTTGGCCATTGGTTTATCTGCCGACAACGGCGAATAAAGGAGATTTTATCTTTGCTCGAGATGTATATTGGCAAGAATTTTCTTCGGACATTTCTATTTCTGAGCCTGCAAACAATTTGAAAGTCCGTTCTGCCATTGAAAAATACTACAAGAATTCAACATCACTCGAACGCTTATTCATCGAGCTTCTTGGTGTTGAAATCCAATCAAACATCGATGACTACATTCCCTTAGTATCCACCATCGAAAGTATTGATCAACGTTGGATTCTTATATCGATTCTCGTTCAATTGGCAATCAAAAATAAGCAAGCAAATGACCTTCGAGGTAAGTTAACGGATTGATTTGAGCACATTGAAGTTGAGAACAAATTCAATTCTAGTGAAATGTCATAACATTGCGTTCATTCCATGCTCAAGTTCAACTAAACCGTTAGCAAAATATACCGATGATCAATTGTTTTTTCCGAACGATCCTGATTTAGCTAAACTATTCGCGGATGTTGTTACGTTAGTCAAATTACCATGTAAGTAATCCAATTCGACCATTTCAGTCGCGTCGTAATTTGTACATTTCTTTTTCAGCTTCAGAGACAACAGTGAACATCGAGCAGTTCTGTTCGATTTTCAAAATAAAAAATCTCACTGAAGTGATTCGAACAGAAGTTAGAGTAAATAACGAAGAAAAGTCAATGATGATCTCTGACTTTTACGAGAAATCCATTGATCTTATCCAGGATTATTTATTCAGCAAGAATCTCATCGACCAAGATCGATCAAAGCAATTGGCTGAAATGTTTAGCAAGATTCGTTTCCTACGTGTTGATAGTATCCGACTCATTCATTGGTATGGAGATACGAATCGTGAATTACCAGCAACACTATCTTCTCGTGACGCTTACATAGATGAACAATCAGCAAAATTTTACATATTAAAAAATTTCGAGAACTCTGAAATGCGTTACGTTCGAACGATGGCAGAATTTTTGGTTGACAATGCAGATGGACAATCAAAGTTAATCAGTTTTATCGAGGAACTCGTCCGTTCGTATCAGAGAGATCCGAAACAAGGCTTGAATGCTTATCGAATCGCATTGAAAAACTCATACGAACCCAAATGGTGCACTCCAAAAGATATTGTAGAAGAGCAACAAGTCGAGAAGAAACAACAAGAACCAAAGAAACCTATTGAAATTAGCGAGGAAGAAATCAGAGCTCTTGCTGCTGAAGAATCGATAGGACCAACACCGGTGGAGAAAACATCAGGGAACACAACAAAACAAGTCTCCAAAACGAGTCAACTGCTGCAATTACCTTCAGAAGGAGGAGATAGGAACGCTCATGGGAACTCGAATCCAACGGAAGGAAAAGTTTCAAGCGAAAATTTCATTCTGCATTCGCAGAATTCACCGAAGCCACCGAGTGCTCAGCACGAGAAGTCAGAGACTGATGAAAATACTGTAAACCCAAATCCAAAGCCAGCACTAGAACACTTACCGCCACGATCAATGCCGGATTCGATGCCACTACCGAGAAATGATTTAACGGAAAAAGTCCAAAGCATCGTCATTAAGAATCTGAATGATTTGGATTTTTCACTATTCGCATCGACGACAAACAAAGCCATCAGCATTCCAAATTTTGATACAGACGGTCACGCTGGTCGTGTCGGCGAACAAATTGTTTTTCAAGTATTGAAACGTGAATATCCGACAGCCAAAGTGACTTGGGAGAATGCAATAACGGAATCGATGAGCCCCTATGATATTTGCATTGAACACGAGAATGGTGAAAAAGAATTCATCGAAGTAAAAACAACGAGACTTCAGAACGAAAATTCTTTCTTTGTCTCCGGTCAGGAAGTGAAATTTTTCTTGGATCATCCAGAAAATTCGAGTATCTACCGGGTTTATCACGCTGACCCGATTGAATCTTCAACAATCACCCAGATCAATCGAATTAAAAACAATTTAGATACACAACATTTAAAGCTCGTTATGACACTTTTTTCCAAACCAAACCAATCCAGTTAAGGAAGATTTTCATTCGAACAGAATGAATAATTTCGATCATTTTTATTTTATGAAAACGCTTTCAATAAATTTTACTTTGTTTGATCGATTATTTCATTTATAAAAACTAGAACACTAGAAGACATCTCTTTTACTCTTTAATACCATTTTCAATCAATATGACTTTATGCAGAAACTTCGAATCTATTACGACAGGTGAACTGTTGGAATCTAAGTTTAGTAAATCCGTTTCTGTATACCTAATCATAGAAAAACAGTATAAGTCGAAGAATAATGAAATATCACAGAAAAATAGAACGTACATTATTTTTACTATCACTGCATATATCAGGAGATAATTTCAAAAATCTATATAATCATAGGCAATGTTCAGAAAAATATTGTTTATTCAATTTCAAAACTAGAATTATGCTGGTATCCATGACTACGCAGTTTTTTATCAACATTAGATCTTACTCGAAATAACGATTAATTCCATCTACAAATAGATGATTTATGACTGTGTATTTTTGTCTGTAAGAGTATCGAAAATTAAAATGAACTATTTAAAGCATCAATTGTGCAGACAACACAAATTATACAAAATACGATTTTTTTCAATGTATATTCACCAATTTTCTTCTCTCAAACTGAACCATCAGCATTGCTTGCTATTGTTTCTAATTGTGCTACTCGGTTATTGAATAGTCCATTTCGTTTTAATCGAATAAGAAGAGGAAAAATCATATTTACCAATAAGGGTACAGTGAATAAATAGACTTTCGTTAGTCCACTAATCAATCCAGTCATTGTTGTTATTATATACACAACATTTTCTCGATGGACATATGTTGCTGAACATTCTTCGGGTTGACATTCATTAAAATAATCTTCATAAGAGGTCTAATTATTCCATTGTTCAATCATCAAATTTGAAATTATTTCTTTTAGAGTTGTGTTTACTCCATATACTGAACTCGAATTTGATAGAGAAGAACTATTGATTGATAATTTTAGCGGCTTTATTAATTCTTGTAGACAAAGATCATCATACAAACAACGCAAATTACTTTGTAGTAAAGCCTCAACTAAATAACAACCAACGTAAACGCCTACAGAGAAAAAACAAGAACAGAAAATCCATCATTTTGACTTAATTTTATTTAAAATTTACCTGGGACAGGAAAAAGTCTAGTAGATCCATCCAAATCATAAACAATTGATTGTTGAATACAATATGGATTTTCTTGACAATCACAATTTATTACACTTAAACTTGAATTATATGCTTGATCTCTTCGATCATAAATATATTCATAAACATAATTCTCTTATTCAGCGGCGGCGCGAGCGGGAGGGGGGGGGAATGGGAGAGTACCCTCTCTGCTTTTGACAATATGAGTGATATTTTCACCCATTTTGAACCTTGTTTTCTCCCATTTTGAACTTTGCTTTCTCCCATTTTAAACTTTGCTTTCTCCCATTTTGGGTTTTGGTTTCTCGCATTTTGAGAAGCGCTTTGTCTCATTTTGGTCTATAGTTTCTCCCACCTTCGGCTGAAAAACTAGCTGCTGAGGTACAAAAGTCTCCTGAAAACCCAGTTGAAGACCTTTTTTTTGCTCTTCAGTTTTGAATTTTTGGAAAATTTGGGTAACCTGTACAGAAAATTTTCCGAAAAACAGATAAACATTCGAGATGCGAAAAATTTTTTTTCTCTTTCTCCCGTTTTGAGATTATCCCGCCCCCTCTGCCTGCAGTTCTTCGCGCCGCCACTGCTCTTACTTATGATAATATTGTGGATAGAGAGTTAAAATTGAATCTGGTGATAATGCTGATATTAACATATTTGATGATGACATATTATTAATTAAATAAAGGGAACTTAGAAATGAACGAGTGGTGTTTTTAATGAATTGATCAATTATTTGAGATATTTCAGTATCAAATCGGTGTTGTGAAACAAGATTTGGTGTTATATATGTTGTGAAATTGAATGTCAATAATCCTATGTTCACTGCTTAATTTGATAATTGACAGAATGAAGAGACTAATTGAAATAATAGACTAACTAATTAAATTTTTTGATTCGAATATAATCATCGCTATTTCGAATTGTTATTCAGATCAACCTTGAATACACAATGAGTTTTGGCTATAAAAATGGTAAATCTGAATGAAAATAATGTCGAGGCCTGAAAATTGTGATATGTTGTAATCGAGGACAAAGATTCATTAGAAACTGTGATTCTGTCTTAATGTACATCCTAAAATATTTATTCTGTTGATCTTAGTTATGAGTTGAAATGGAATGATCTATAATTAATACTGAATGTGTGAATATTACTAATTCGAATATCTTCGAAAAAGGACCATTATAATAATCGATGGATAGTTTAGTAAGTTGTTTCACAGGTACAATGCAAAGAAGAATGTCAGAAAGAAAATATTCACTTTTATTTAAATAGCAGAGAGAGAGAGTTCATTCATATTTTTGTGAAACATGATCTAAAAGGAGTATTGAAATGTATAGGGTACAAACCTGTTCCCATTCCCACTCACACACAGACCGTGCCAAACAGTTTTCCTTCATTTGTTTTACATAAAAAATAAACATAATCTTGGATGCAGATTAATAAAATGGTGAGATGAAAATGTGTAAATACGTAACTCCATAAGTATATCTGATACATATAAATAATTGCAACATCAAACTTTCATTATCACTTACAAACGATTTTCACGAATGTTTTTATGAAACCATTTTTCTATTTGGCAATTTGAAGATCGACGCATGAAAAGTTAATCATTGAACAAGGCATAGGAAAAGAAGAGGGTGTGAGTGTGGGGTATGGGAGGTGTGGGTGTGTGTGGGTGTGGGGTGTAGGTGTGGGTGTGGGTGTGGGTGTGGGGTGTGTGTGGGTGAGGGTGAAAAAGAAGAGAAAAACCACACCCGCACACCCACACCCGCATCCACAGCCACACCCACACCACACCCACACCCACACCCACACCCACACCCACACCCACACACCCACACCCTATACATCCTTTATAGTCAATAATATTCCGATAGATTGCCATTGTCAATTGTTTCAAATAGGGACACGAAATCTAAAATGAATAAATTAAATGAAATTTGAAATTAAGAAACATTATTTACCGATCTTATTTGAGATAATATATCAAAATTGCGTACACAAACATACAGAATGCTTACAGCGAATGAATAGAGTTGCGAGCCCAATTGATTTAGTAAACGGACGCAATGCTCGAATCAATGTAATGTTATTCGGATATGAGTCAGTTGAATTGATTGAGCGAAAAACAACTCGTCATCATTAAATGCATCTCGTAAAATATAATCATCATCAAGTTCGAACGATACAATAGAACGTATATATGATGAACAAAGAAAAGTAGATAAGATTTGAGCACGAATATACTTATGTAGAAGAATTAATTGAGGTATAATTGAGAAGAGAGGTTTGCGGCGTAACGTACTGTAAAGATTGATACCTAATAAAAAAATATATGTATATATGAGTGCTACAATATAATACTTTTCAATCTAGACTCTTGCTTGCAGATAATAATGATTTGACAAAAAAGACCTTTCCATATTTTTCTCAACTATCATTTTTGTGAAAGAAGCTTTGGTATGTCAAAACAGAGATAGGATGATGCGGTAAGTTTTGCACTAAGTAGAAATTTTCTATACGAATGTAGCGTAGAGATTTCTTTTACATAAAATATTGGCAAGAAGAGATTTTTAAATTCTCAAATTATAAAATTTCTCTCACTTTCTAAGTAGCAAGTGAACTAAAGTGATATTTAAACACAGCTTAAAAAATACACTTAATAATAATTTACTTAATGTATAAGGTGTGCCTGTTTCATGATATTGTCTACCAATAGTTATTTTCAAATGTGTCAAATTTAAAAGAGTTCCATTACAGTTTTGTTCAGCAAAATTGGCAAGATCGCGAATATGTAGAATGTCGAATGTCAATGATTGAATCTGATTGCTGATACGAGACATGACATGTGAATAAGACCGTTTAAAACGTAATTTATGGGACGATTTAAAATAATCAAAAGTTAAATCGATTGAATGACATTTATCAAGTGCAAGTTGTTCCAAACGATTATTACCAATATCAATAATAGAACAAAGCAATAACAGTCGAGGTTTAATTTTATTCACAATAGCTAAAATTAACTCATCAGGTAAATCGAGTAGTTGAACAACGTCTTCTGTGCAAAAGAATCAAAAAATAAATGATATTGTAAAATAGATACATACTCATATTTGACAAACACTTCATGTTGATAGAATGTGTCTCTTTGAGAATAGAACCTACGTATATATATATGAAGAGTTATGCTTGATGGACATTGTCCAAATGAAGACCAATCATTGATGAACAATTATTTTAACAAAGGATGTTTTATACAAAGAAATATGCAGGTGAACCAATCAGATGAAGCTATGTGTTAGGCGCTTTTCGCTGTGGGTGTGGGTCCTTCTTCTTTTAATCCTCACGTACACCCCCCCCCCCCCCCCCCCCCACACCGACACCCACAGTCGCACGCCACGCCCAACTCACCTCACACTCACATCCACAATTACCCATAGCCAGCCATATCCACACTCACATCCTTGAAGCTGAATCACGTATAAATATCAAAATAAACTATCTCATCAAAAATTACCTAGTAGATATCACACTAGTAAATAGACAAGGAAGTCGATCAAATACATTCACATTCTATGCAAATTATGTAAAATCAATTCAATCGATTAATCAATGAATTAGCATCGATTATTCATGTTACAAAAAATCAGTGTGAGTGTTGATGTGAGCATGGCAGAGTAAGAAATTCAAATCCTTGCACTCGCGCCACACATCCGCACCTATACTCACAGTCACAGATAGCGTGTACCATTCACTACAACGTTGCAATTCTCGGGTTTGTTCTCTCATTAGATACTCTTTACACGACGTTCGTTTCTTACTGGTACCACAAGGGGTGACCTGATCTAATACTCAAGTGAAAAGGGTGTGGATGTACGACGTCAAGTGTGAATGTGAGACTTTCATCACAATTACCCAAATCCACCGTGGAAATTCAGATAAAAAAGGTGATCATATGCCGGATATTCATTTCAAAGATGGTAGATATATATTATATAATGATAGAACATAGAAACACGGTAGAAGATCATTAACAAATGAAAAAAAAAGAATGGATAGAAAAAAATGGGCGACCATTACCACAAGATAAAAAGTGTAGGATACTGGCATCTTATTTTTACTTAGACATTTGAAATACTTTCTTTTTGTTAAAGCAAATGGTACTATTACTCTATAATTTCAAAAAACGTTTCTGAAGGTGATCTTGCTCAAGGATCTCATGATATGTCTTATGTATGGGAAATGCCATTCGTTAGTGACGTGACTTCAAAAAATAAAAATGTGTACGTTCCTGAATAATAAGGTTTCCTAGAGATATTTTTTTGTACGTCATACACATATTAAGTTACTCTCGATGGACTGAAAAAATCAGCTTTAAAGCATTGAATGGATAACTATATTTAATACATAAATATGACAAGAAAAAATACAGTCGTAAACGAAAATGTATTAATAATTGATACTTTACTCATTTTTACATTGAGAGCTTTCATATCGTCTTCTCAATGAAAATGAATCAGGACTTTATTTCACAAGAATAAAACTATTTTTCTTTCAAAACCTTATCAAGTTTCTTAGCGTACAGAAAGTCTGTTCGTTTATACAATAGTAAAATTCTCGTACGAAGCAAAATTCACTTGCATAGAAGCATGGCACACATCATGCTACAACTGGCTACACATGCTGATTCAGCGTCATTTGACCTACGTATTGATTGTATTTTATTTTTCTCGGTAGTTGAAAAAATCTATCGTTGATAGTCAACAAAGTGCGCATCTCACGTAAAGAAAACGTACACTACTATTCCAAGTCGGTGAACTACAATTTATGAAAATGGTATAGAATACAAAGACAGTTTTAGATGACCCATCGGATAAGTGTATTGCTGCTATTTGACCTTCTACATAGCCTTTCTTACATCAAGAATATGTCCCTTACATTGACTTTGAATTATATTTTTCAACCATTTCATGCTAAGACTCAGTTTCACAAGATGCAAGAGTATCTTCATATCGTTCGTTGAAAGAAAGCGCTTTGCTGTGGTTTGTATTTATGTATTTTTCTTATATATGTTTTTTTTACCATCGATTGTTCCAACAATCAAAGTTCTCGTAAAATCCGTCAGTTTCGAGAAGAAACAAAGAACGAAATATTGTTGCTTTGGCAGTATACACAATACGAATGTGTCCATATGTGAATTGTCTCTGATAGTTTCGACAAAATTTGACAAATATTTTTCAGTCACGTTGAAGATTGACAAAATTCTAGAGATCTACTAGTAGAATCAAGCAGTTCTGAACTGTATTTTACGAGAGATAAAGAAACGATATAAATTATAGCCAAAACGCATGTTTTCGGTTTTGTTTTACAAGTAAAAATGGACTGATTTCAATATCAATCCTATATCATTCCTCTACGTATTGGTAGTCGACTATATCGATGCCCAAATCGCTATGCGACCTACAACGTACAATTTTGATTTCATTATGATTCCATCCAGAGGAAATATCGACAGGAGATTCAGATATTCAGAAAATACTGAACGTGTTCTATGGACTACTATTTTGAAATAAAGATGTAACTGAACCAAATAATCGACCATGTTTGGTCTATAATTATTTCTACATATTTGTTTTGATTTGTATCAGCGTTTGCATCATTCTAAAATTTCTATAAAGATCAGTGCATTTCGAAATTTAATGAATTGTGCAACAGACAGACTAAACTTTTTAACTATAAAAATATTTATGCCGATGAGCCTTAATTCTATTTATGTACGAAAAACAAAAATGCTTTAGTTTCTGATCAATAGAAAAATAGATATTCTGATAAGAAACTTTACTACAGGTGTGTAATAACTATAAAATGCTTCAATATTTCTAAGGACCGTAGAAGAAAACGAAATTTATCTTATTTGCTGAAAAAAAAAACACCAATTCCTGTAAACCTCGAAAACACGACTGTTTACCGATTGTTATTGGATAAATTGAGAATTTTTTTTTTTGTAAGTATTTCTTATCGAACTCAATTTCTTAATAGTTGTATATTCACTTTTCGAAATATCTTCGTCATTATTTTCGGTACTTTTTCGACTTTAATCTGAATTCAATTTTAGATTGAAATTGTTACAACGTTTGTTTAACAATCAGTTACTAAATTCGAACGTTATATCAAAATTTGCTTAACATTTTCCAAAGCAATAGTCGAAAAAAAAAACTAATATCGACGATTTACGATGTGAGATAGCACTCCTGAAATGAGCATGTCTATGACTGATGGCATATATAAAATCAATTCAACGATTCATTTTCTTTCATCTAGATTCGATGTGACAATCGTCTAATGTTTCACTACAGAAAGTTTTTACTGATATTGAAAACAATGCATGAAAGTCTTTCTCATTATTATAGTAACTTCATGCTGATTGGATTCTGCTCCTTCGAAATGTTTTCGATCAGAGCAACGTTCGCATCTACAATGATGCATATATTAGATCTGTTCAATACCTTTTTTCAAGACAAACACCGCTATTCTCACTCAGATTTAGTTTAGATCATGCAATCTGTAAGCATCGTGTACGAGAAAAGCACACCATATCACAAAATATTCATCGTTCGAAACATAAATTTCAATCTTTTAATATGTTTGCACTAAAACTGAAGAAAATACTTTGAAATATACAAGTTTTATTCTGAATTAAATAATGAATACAAGTTTATTAGAATTTCTCTGCTACATCGATGAAAGTCATTGAAAAAATTACCGAAAAAGATTGTTTTTGAGATATATATTCAAAGAACAGGAGGTAGAAAATCACAAGTCTTCATGGGCATCGCTGTGTCTCTCGTTCAATTGTTGGTAATAGCCATGCACCATAGCTAATTTTTCACTATTTTCCGATTCATCTTGAAAAGTTTTCGCCATTTCCATTGATCGTCGAACCATCGTATTTACTTTGCGTTGACTATAACCTAATGTCTCTCGATCGTCATCCGACACTTTCATGTCAGCTAGTTTGTCCTTCATCGCTTTCGCTTGAGCGGCTAGCGATTGTGATAGATCAAATGCGTCCTTCACTCGCTGTTCTCGTAATAATTCCGTGACTTCTCTTTCATGTCGTTGGATTTTTTGTAATTCGACCAGACGTTGTACAATCTCATTCAACTCATTCAATTCTTTATCATCTCGACTCAAGGAAAATAGGAGTGTTTTCGAGGCGACTAATTTCAATATTCGATCGGTAACATCAGTCATCCATAATTCGACAATCATGAAATCGATTTCAGATTTTTCATGTAATTCTTTTGTTATTTTCACTTTCGTTTCTAATAGAATATTCATCATATCATTGTAACGAAGATTTCCGATAGGTATTATTTGTTGTTGTTCTTCTTGTTCTTTTATGTCATAGCCGTAGATATCAATAATTTGTGTATCATACTTGGTCGTCACTTTCAAATAAGCATCAATACCCATGAGATTTTGAAATCCTTGATAAGCAATACCAACAACTTTCTCCATACTTTCAGCACCTTTAATGAAAAAATAATCACCTGAACCATAATCAGCTATATTTGTCATTAATTTTTCATCGAAATCATATCCAATACCAAAGGAACAAATTGTGACATCATATGTATTTTTGATAGTTGTTATTTCTTTCAACAAAAGATTATGATCAGTTATACCTTCATTGATTTGTCCATCCGACAAGATGAAAAATCGCTTGACACTAGATCGATCGGAATATTTTTTCAATAATGGAATTACTTGATCGAGACCTGCCATCAAATTAGTACCACCAGATGGGTATAGTGCATGCAAAGCCTTTAACATAGCTTGTTGATCATGAGCATTTTCGAAGACAACCGATGAAACAGAATTATATTGAACTAAATGTAGTTTATCATCAGTATTCATATTTCGAATAATATGTTCGATAGCGGAGATGGCATTATTCCATTTGTTTGCTCCGGCCATACTACCCGATGAATCCAGAACGATGAACAATTCGCGTGGTAATTTCGATTGAGTACCAGTATGTGAACCTGTCTTGATTTGAATGTTCACATGTTGAGTATAAGTGGAGATTTCATGTGGAAAAAATCTTT